TGAGTGTAGACGTTGTTGCACATCACTGGTTATTCTGCACTGACAGTAGATAATGAAGCTCTGTGACGTGCAGGCGGCTGGAACCTGCGTCCACACTTCATCATGCCTCTGGGCCAGAACCCCCTGCAGCCCGTCCGCTGCTGCCTGGCCAAAGGAGGCCGCCTGTGGGTCGGGTACTGGAACCGGGTGCACGTGGTGGACCTGGACGGCAAGAAGGTGGAGGTGAGCGGCGGACGGGTCGTCGTCGTGGCCACGCTCCGCCAACTCAGCAGCTTTAATCCTCTTCTCTCTCCGACAGCAAACCTTCTCGGTGTCCGAGCGCAGCGAGCAGCAGGTCCGCTTCCTGTGCGCGGCAGGAAGCGGCGTCTGGACCTCGTGCCGCCTCGACCCCGTCCTCCGGCTGTTCGACTGGAGCACCGGGCGGCCGCTGCAGGAGGTCGACTTTGCAGCTGTGGTCACCAGAACTTTAGGTGTGTTTTATTCCAGTTTACCTGCACAGGTCATCGGGTGTTTCTCTGATTTACCTGGAATGTTTATATCATTAAAGGTGGATCATTGTACAGACGTGTGTGAAATCTTAGCTCCATGTATCAAATACTTTCTGAAATAAGAAAATTCTTTCTGAGCCAATAATAAAAAAATATATTTCTCACGTTGAAATTTTCAGCTGTTTTAACGTCGACATCTCAGGAACTATTCAAGATAAAAACCTGAATTTTTCTGTTATTTCTCCTTCAGGATCTGGAATATTGAGCAAGTAGATCAAATCATGTCTGATTATGGTGGAGATGAAGATGAAATACTGTATTTATATTTTAAATGCTTTTAAAAATTGCCCGAACAATTTGTGCTCGACCGTCTCTGATTCATTTGAAGCTTTTAAATCATAAAATACGGATATTTATGAAGATATTTGCCAAATTTGAGCTCCAGGTTTCTTCAACGTGACGAAAAAAAGTGGAACAAAAATGAAAAATAAACCAATAAAGCTCCAGAACTTTGTTATTTAAACCTGAAAAGTTCCATCTTTGAGCTTTAATTAACAACAAAAGTCCACATGGAGCAGGGATCAATATTTTAGTTGTCAAGCCTGATCAATCGGTTATAAAAGTTCAATTAAAATAAATTTATGTTTTGTTTTTAGGACCAAGTGTTTCAAATTAAAAGCATGTTATATGTTTAGTTTAGCTTTATTGTGAAATGTGGCTTCATGTGGTTCAGAAAACATCACCGGTCGACTCGTTTCTGTTGGTTGTTGTGCTCAAAGATGAACATTTTATTATTATTTAATCTGCTTTTTAAATCATACAGATGCTACGAGACGATGAAGTAACCGCTGTAGCCGGAAAACAAAAAGTCTCGGCCGTTGTTCTTGTTCACATCGTGTCTGATTTAAACGTTCTTCATGTGTTTTTTTCCTGCAGGCCAGCCCTTCCTGCAGCTCTCGCCGCTCCAGATCTCCTCCCTGACCGTCGTCTCCGGACGCCTCTGGGTCGGAACCGGAGGAGGAGCCGTCTTCTCCATCCCGCTGTCCATAAGTAGGTTTCATTCAGTGACTATAACGAGTATCACGTCGTCAGGAATGTTCTGAACCGCATCCTCCTCCTCCACTGTGTGCAGCTTCAGAGGACGTGTCCATCCCGTACTGCTCCACGGCGTCGGCCCAGCTCTGCTACCACGGACACCGGCAGGCCGTCAGGTTCATCATCGCCGCCCCAGGTAAGTGTCCGACCGGCGTCACTCTGACATGTTGGGAAGCCTTTACCGGTTGGAGGAGGTCTGACCACGTTTTCCTCGCAGGTTGTCTGATCACGTCTCCCGGCAGCAGCCACATCACCACGTCGCAGCTCGTCCTCAGCGGAGGGGAAGGCTACGTCAACTTCAGGATCGGTGAGTCGGAGGAAAACACGAGTTAACGGCAAACGGTCTGGGTTCATAAGACACGCTTTCTGTTTAAAAGATCACAGAAATGGGCCCAGGTATCAGCCGGAAACTGTTAAAGAGAAAGAGTCTGACGGTTCTTATCGGGTGTGACATTCGGTTTGGTATAAAAATTAACTACATCTAAGCTCAAAATTAGGATATTTAAAAAAAAACACTTCACAATAAATAAAGCAGAACAGATTGTTTAAAAAACCCAAAACGTTTCCCTCCCGGTTCCTGCTGATCCTCCATGATGGAAAACTGGGCTTTTGAGTTTGTAGAGGCTCTAAAAAAGGAAAGAAAGTCAGATATCTGTAGTATCTGGAGACAAAACGACCAAAAAACAACCTTTTCTGGCTCCTGCTGATTCTCTGTGACAGTCAACTGGGATATTGAGTTTTTTAGGCTGTAAAATGGAAATAAATTCAGATATTTAGAGCATTTGGGGAAAAAATGACCAAAAAACTACTTAAACGAGACTCGAAATGACAAAAACGAGACGCGAGGCTGCACCAGCAAGGCACTAAATAACAAACAAGACGCGAAACAACAACAACAGCAAGACACAAACATTCATGAGTGTGACTGGTTTTGTGTTAAAAGTAGTCGTGACTTGTTGCTCTTGCAGTCATATACGGCCGTCGTGGTTTGTGATGTACACACCTGGTTCGACAGAACTGAGGATTTAAAGTGATTTCTTTTAATACATGAATATAATGAAGACATTTCTGATTTCTAACATGTCATACAAGTGAGACACAAAACCAGCAGAAAGACAGAAAAACTGTGAAAAGAACTAAATGGAGACGAGAGAAAAAAAAAAACTACAAACCAGGAGACACACATCAGAGAGGAGATCAAACTGGGTTTGTAGAGCTACAAGTCCCAGATGTTTGTCTGTTCTTCAGACCAGAACTGGAGGTTCTAACTGAAACAACACCGTTTATCACATCTTAAACTTTGTGTTTCCATCTGCGGCGTGTTCTTCTGCAGAAAAATGAACCGAATCTGAGCTTAAAATCAGGATATTTCATCAAAAATGACTTTATCCTACAGGTTGATTTTTTTTAAAAATGTGCCAAAAATGTAACATTTGCAGTATTTACATTGTGTAAAATACAAAAAATTCTGACGTCCACGGTGCAACAGTGAAGCTTGGACTGACTCGGCTGAGACCAACAGACGGGTGATGAAAATTCACAGAGTTTTTAGTAAACGAGTAATGAAGCGAATGAAAAGAGTAGATCTCTGGTATGTGGAGCCTCCAGGTTTTCTGTGGACGCTGATGTTGGACGTGTTGATTCCAGGTTTGACTTTTTAGAGTTTTGTTCACGTCGTTCCGTCAATAACGAGATGCTAAATGACAAAAAACAAAAAATGGGAGAAAACAACACAAAGGAGACGAAAAACTACCAAAAAAACACGTGAAACACCAACAAGAGACGTTTAGGTTCCAGGTTTCTTTCAGTTTTTGTGGATAAATCATCAAAATTCAACTTTGTTTTTCTGATTCCTGTGATTCTGACTGACTGGAGACGTCTCTGGGTTCTCTCTCCTTCATGTTCTGGTTCCACAGAGCTGCAGGACTTTATGTTGAAACATGAAGCTCAGTGAAGGAACACGGATCAGAACCTCTGCTCCGTCTCCTGCACCACATCACTTCATGTTTACAGCATAAATTCAGCGTCTCACTGATTCTCGTTTGTTTCCAGGAGACGACGCCGGCGACGACGAACCCGCCGAGGCGTCCCAGTCAGCGCCTCAGAGGTCCGAGCGCAGCCACATGATCATCTGGCAGAACCCGTCGGTGCCGAGCCCGGCTCTGTGACGCCGGACCGACCGGCGCCCGCCCTGAGAACACCCGGTTTACCTCGTCTGTGTTCCACGCCTGTCTCCTGAAGTGACGCCTTCTCGTGTGCCTTCGACGGGTTTACTGTCAGAGCAGCAGAACCGGGTCAGACGGGCTCGGCACTAATCATGCGTCCAGTTCACAGACGTTTTACTGGGTCTGGAACCGTCACGCTGTTAGAACAAGTTCTGCTCGAGCATCTCTGATTCACTCGCTATAAATGATCAGTATTTATGAAGACATTTGTGAAATTTCAGATCTTTCAGAAGACTTTTAATTTGAAATACTCGGTCACAAATTGAGGATAAAGTTCTTCCAGTTGAGCTTTGATCACTGATTGAGCAGATTTAACAACAAAAACTAAAAGTACTAACTGGACAGTTTAAACCTGGAGCGTGAGAATAACTTCAGAATTAACTGACTGGATGTTCTCTGTGATCAACGCAAACAGAATCATTCATTTTCTCACAAACCTGAGACGTTAGCGTTTGATTTTATCGCAGTAAAGTTTTATTATTCTGGACGTGTCAGTTTGCAGCCTGATGGATGTGAACTTATGGAGGAAGATGAGGTTTTTTTTTTCCTCTAATTGGACTTTAGCATCGATCAGATCTTTAAAGGTTCCTCCAGGTTTCTGCTGA